CAGCAGGGAGCTGAGCCTGGGTGCTGGGTGCAGTGGTCTGCAGAGCCAGGCAGACGCTCGTCCTCCGCTTCCCTCGGGGCCTGGACACTGGCCCAGGTGGGCGTGGGTGGGGTGGGCGCGAAGTCGCCGTGCGCCTCGAGGCACTGCGCACGCGCGTTCCGGCCGGCAGGCCTCTAGGTGTGGAGGGGCGAAGCCGCAGGACCCAGACCTGGGCCCTAAGGGCGAGCGCGCCGATTGCGCGCAGGAGGCCGCTGTGCAAGCTTTGCTTGAACTTTTTCTTTTTTGACACCCGAAACTAATACATTGGGCTGGAATGATTCCTAAAGTCATCTCGGCAGGCACCCTGTTTTTATTGATTTGGCGCGGGAGATTGAGAAGGCAGGTGCAGGGCAGGGTGGAGAGGTGCTTTGGTGGGAGACTTGGGAACTAGGTTTGACCTGGGGAGGGAGCATGCAACAGGTTCTTTGAGCGTTAGTTTTCTTGTAATTCTGCCCTTTTGTGATTGTGTTAATATGTACATATAGTTATTTTAACGCGTATAATTCAGTGACATTAATTACGTCTCTTGTACAGTCATCACCACTTTGTTTGCAGAATTTGAGCGGTATTTCTTAGAAATAATGTTCTCAGGCCAGGGACTCAGCTCAGTGGTTCTGCCGCCTGTTTCCACAAGCGCAGGATTCTGAGTTCGATCCCTGGTACAAAAACAAAAACAAAGAAACAAGACCCTCAGGGCTGGGGATTTAGCTCAGCGGTTCGGTAGCCTGCCTTGCAAGCGAAAGGACCTGAGTTCAATCCCCGGTACCAAAAAAACAAAACCAAAAAAAAAAAAAACCAAAAAAACAAGAAACAACACCCTCAAAATTTGTATTGCCGTGAATTATTTCGATGTAATAATATGAAACATTTCTTTTTGTTGTTGTTGTTATTTGAGACAGGGTCTCACTATGTAGTTGAGACTGACCTAGAACACTGTGTAGCCCAGGCTGGTCTCAAATTCACATCGATCCTCCTGCCTCAGCTTCCCAAGTGCTGGGATTACAGGAATGCGCCACCACGCCTGGCTCTGAAACATTTCTTATATACACTGTGTCTCCTATGGAAATGAAACCCAAAGCACAAGTCTGTGAAGAGGCCCACCCAGTAGCTCAGTGGGTCAGATCACCTGCCTCTGATTTGTTTATAAAAGCATGAGCACAGAACCTAGGTCACAGGGAGTGTTGAATAAGTTGAAAGTGCAGGATTCTCTGGCTTGAATGCACGAGGCCATGGCAGTCACTCCACTCCCAGCAGCTCACCTGTCACCCGAGGAAGTTCCGCAAAGAGGAAGTGAAGGACCTCAACTCGCACCACCCGTGGAATAAGTTTACTGACTCCTGTCACAGAAAAGAACTTTCAGACATGTCAGGATGTACACAAAATATTTACTTAGCAGGGGGGAAAAGTACACAGAAGGAAGTGCAGGTGTTCGGAGAGTGAGATGCATTAGGTCTGGCGCTGGGTATATTTACGTGTACCTGGGGGCGTCTTCCAGATGGTGATGTAGGCTGTGTATTCCTGCTGTCAGATTACTCATTTGGTGGGCTGTTGGGATGCAAACCATTAACATGTGTTTGAAGTTGAGATATGTTGCCCTATTAATCGTTCTTGGGGAGGGAGGTCTGTGGGAAAAAGAGCTCTGTATAGATGAAAAGCAAAAGGCAGGTGCCCAGTATGCAGACTTACTGTGTCCTTAAGACCTGTAGGAAAAATTTTTTTGAAGTGAGTGCCCTGGAAGGGAAAAGGACATTATAACCTGGAGTGATTTTTGTGTTCTGAAGCTGTAATTTTTCTTTAAAAGACAATGTAAAAATTACAGTTTTGTTTCCTTTCTACTTTGCATCCTTTGTGAAAGGAAACCCAACACATAACTCTAGAGAGGTCCACCACGTAGAGTAGTGGTCCACTACATACAGCCACCTTTAATTTGTTTTTGAAAGCATGAAGACCCTTTAACACAGAGCCTTGCACACAGGAAGTGTTTAGTAAGTGGTAGCTTAAAGCTGAAACTGCAGGTTTCAACAGTTAGTGGCTTTTGCCATCACACCCCACTCCTACCTCACCCCTTTAGGGTGACCCACGCTGTGTGCAGAGAGGAGAGAATGCTGGGATTCCTCTGACCTTGCACCTGGAAATAGTTTGTGCCAATGAAATTGTGTCGTTAGTGTGGCCTGGAATCAGCAATGCTCAACCTCCTGCAGGCTGTTGTTCACCAGGGTCAGAGAGCTGGAGGGAAGGGAAAAAGGAAGGAAAGTGAGAGGAATCAGGTTTTGATGGGGCCTGCCTAGTTTTAGAGCCTGTTTTTTGTTTGTTTTTGTTTTTGTTCGTTTGTCTGGTTGGTTGGTTTTTTGAGACAGGGTCTCACTATGTAGTTGAGACTGACCTGGAACTCACTATGTAGCCCAGGCTGGTCTCAAACTCAGTGATCCTCCTACCTCAGCCTCCCGGGTGCTGGGATTACAGGGGTGTGCCACCATACCTGGCATTAGAGCCTGTTTTATAATGAAATAAAAGTTCCCTTTTGACTCGAGATTTCTATGCTGCCAAAAAAAATTTTTTTAAACAGTTTTTCTGAAGTAAAAAAATTCAATTCTTTCACAAAACATGGATTAGGCAGGAAAATGAAGTCTTTTCCTCTTTCTTGTGCTGATGCCTGACTAGGAAGAATTCAGAATAAATTAAAACTTTTTTTGGTCATGGTTGTTTAAAGAGGTTGCTTTAAAAATCAACCTTAGGAGTATAATCATTTCATTGATCCTTTTACCAGAAGTCACTTAAAGATTAAATGTACTTTGTTTACTGCTTTGCTGATAATTCATATTTACTAGCATAAAACTATGTAGAAAACTGGTCTTTTGGGTGGGTGTGGTGGCACACTACTGTAATCTCAGCATTGGAGGCTGAGAGAGGAGGATTGCTGTGAGTTTGAGGCCAGCCTGGGATACATAGTTCAAGGCCAGTCTGAACTACATGGCGAGACTGTCTCAAAGAAGCAAACAACTTGTCATTTGGACTTTGGTAAGAAATTATACGTTGTCATTGAAAGGACTTTAGATATTCTTTCAATTAAAGAACAACAGCAAGCCGGGTGTGGAGGTGCACACCTGTAGTCTCAGCACTTGGGAGGCTGAGGCACCTGGATTGCTGTGAGTTCTAGACCAGCCTGGGTTGTACAGTGAGTTCCAGGCAGTCGGAGCTACATAGTGAGACCCTGTCTCAAAAAAAGAAGAAGAGGAGGAGGAGAAGGAGGAGGAGGAGGTGGAGGAGGAGAAGAGCAAAATAAACCTAATTAATTACTTGTATATTTCATATCATATAAATCAATCTTTATCTTTTCAGAGGCAAGAAATCACTAATTAAAATCTCTTCAGAGTGACATTGTGGGCTAAGACCTCTGTTAGCGTCTTTGTGAAACAACAGCAAAGGCAGTCTTTGCTCTTTTATGCCATGTAAGAGAAAGCAGGAGAGAGAAGAGAAATTTGGGATATAGTATAAAATACAGTGGTAATAGAGAGGGCACTGTAGGAGCACAGGCATAGGAACCCCACTGAGACTTCAGGAAAGGCTCTTGGAAGAAAGCATCGTAGCAGAAACCTGAAGTTTAGGAGTTAAGAGGTGAAGAGAATAGCAGAAAGAAAGAAAGGGAGAGGTACTGTATTTTGCAAAGTTCCAGGGGAAAAACCCTGGGCAGTGAAGACTTTCACAGTTGGAGAGTGAAAGAGGAGGTAGCAAGAATCAACGTTAAGTGAGACAATGCCAGTAAAGTACTTAGTACACGGCCTAGCAGAGTTAGTGCTTTATAAAGGTTAGTATATAAAAATGCAGGTAAACATTTACTTAAATGGTTAATGAATGCTGCACTGAAGCCTCAGACAAATTAAGAGAAATAAAAGAGAAAGAAGCTCACCAAAATTTAGAGTTACATTCTAGTGACATCTGTGAAAAGACAAGATGCTTCAGAGCTGCTGAAAGCGCGTTATTTGGCTTGGTATTAGCATGGATAGAAACATGGCAGAACATTTAAGTCATTACATTTTAAAGAATATTTTATTTTTTAAACAATCTCAAGTGTGCAGAAAAGCTGCAAGTATTGTACAAAGAACTATTCCTGAATCATTTGAAATATGCTGTTATTGTTATGCCTCATTACCCAGAATAATTTAGTGTTTGTTTTCCCAAACAATAGTCTCCTACCTAACTATAAAAATCAGGAAATTGACATTGTTATTACTGTCTACTCAGACTCCTTTCAAGTTTTGCCAGTTGTCCCAACATTGTACTTTATAGCAACAGGATCCAGTTCAGAATCATGCATTGCATTCCGTTGTCCCGTCTTACTAGACTCCTTTTATCTGGACAGTCCCTCAGTCCATCCTTGGCTTTCTCAGTCTGGACAGTTTTGAGAGTTATAAGTCAGTTATTTTGAAGAACATCTTTGAATTTGGTTTTGTCTGATGTTTCCTATGTGCTAGCTTCAGTTATGCACCTTTAACAGGGATATCACAGGATACTTTGCTGTTATAGCAACCTCACATGATCTGTCCCACCCCACCCCCCAAAAAAAACCAGAATCTTGCTTAATTGCACTGGCTGGGCTTGAACTTGTGATTATCCTGCCCTTGGCCTCTTAAGAATTACAGGCCATGTGGGACCACACTCAGCCAGTTTTCCCATTGTGAATGTTAATTACTATACACTGGACCCTTAACTTACGAACTTGATCCGTTCCCAAGTGCTTGCTGCAAGTTGGTTATAAGTCAATATATTTGAGATCTGAAAGTTTACCTGGGT